GTAGTAACAAGAAGCTAGTAGTAACAAGTGCCACGCTAGTAGTAACATTGAATAGTTTTATGATGTTTCTGAAAAGTTGTTCTTCCTTTGTGATGGCTTCTGTTGGGTTTTCGTGTCTTCTGTTGGCTTTGGTGGCTTTGGCTTGCTTCGTTGGCTTTTTGTGGCTTTCAGTGGCTCTTTTGACTTTGGGTGACTTTGGCTGGCTTCCATTGGCTTCTGGTGGCTTTGGTTGGTTTCTGGTGGCTTTTGGTGGCTTCCATGAGCCAAGCAAGCAAGCACGCACGCAAGCACGCACGCACGCAGGCACGCAGGCAGGCACGCAGGCAGGCAGGGACGGGGGCACGCAGGCAGGCAAGCAGGCAAGCAAGGAAGGAAGGAAGGAACAAAGAGGGAAGCACCATGGCTTCTGTTGGCTTTTGTTTGATGCCTTGCTGCAGCTGACCTGCTTGCAAAGATACGCTGCCTGCACGCGCAAGGAGCCATTCCAAGGTAGCAGACCTTGTGTCAGCAACCAGGGCAGATTTTAGAGGAGGAAGGCAGGTTAGAGGAGGAAGGAACCATTCATTCCAACGTAGCAGGCCATTAAGAGGAGGAAAGCGCCATTCCAACATGGCAGACCTTTTGTGAGCCAACCGAGGGCAAATCTTAGAGGAGGAAGAAGCCGCCATTTCAATGTAGCAGACCTGTGACCGGGGACGGAGCCATTCCAAGGTAGCACACCTCGTGTGAGCCAGCTGAATTTAAAGTTTTAGACACTTTGGAGGAAGGGGCCAGCTCAACATAGCTGCCTGCTTGCGGTTGCCAGAACCTCACCAACACCAAACAAAAACCACCAGATACCCCTGTGACACCATATGAGAAACATAACATAAGCATTCAGAAAAACATAAAAACAAACAAAGAAATAACGTCAGCCTGTGGCCGTGGGAGCGCTTCTGGTCTTATCTTCAGAAAGCCGATGGGGCAAAGGAATATCAATCCATTTACATAGCAACATGTCCCATACATGGACTTAGATAAGGGCAACAGCGGCAACAACTTCTGTTGCTAGACGTTCTTGCGGTAGGCCTTTGGGGCGATGCGATGGATTTGTTTGGGCGGGTGGGCCACGAGCACATGCCGTTGAAAGATGTACGTAGGGTTTCCTTCTGAGAAGTTCACATTTACGTAATCTTACGTATTTATCGTCATTGACTAGGTCGGGAGTCGGGAACTCGTATTGTTGGATCTCCCTGCTGCCTGCTGTTGGGAGAGGACCATGGTAGTTGTCAATGCACTTTATTACCTGTTATACAATTCAATTATAATTCACATTAATTCACTATAATTCTATCGGCGGTGGCTCTTTTTTTTGCTTAGTTGTTCTCCTACCCTCAGGCGGGAATCCAGAATGGCGATTCTGAGGATGGATTTCTGGATGGCTGCTTAAAACTAGTCAGTTTGAAGAGATGCACGGGCCGCTTCCTAGGCCGAATATTCTTGAATAATGTACGGCTGCGCGCTCTCGGGATGTCTAGTCCGGTCCTTTTATTTGTTTGTTCAGGGCGTGCGCGTGTTTGGCCACAACGAATTGAACAAGAGGGCAAGAAAGTCCAGAAGCAAATCACTTCGGAGTGGATGGCTCAATGGCTCAATGAGCATGTGTCGGACCTGTGGCATGGATCCCATTTCGCGTTGTGTCAGAGCCAAACTGGCATTAAGCGCAAGATCGGGCCTTCGACAGGCTGAGCATTGTTATAAAGAAGAAAAAACTATGCGCAGGATTTTGGCCATCAACATGCTGTATGATGCAATGGCTGCACTAGCAAGCCTCGAACAAAATTAAATGAAAAGCAACAAAAACACTTACACATACTTACTTACACAAAACACTTACCCTGCGACGGCCTTGGCCTAGTGCAGCCAACGAGCTACTAATAACACCAAGGAAGTCGCCAAGGATTGACAGTGTTTATGATGAGAGGAGATTGGGTTGCCCCCTTTGCAGCATGACTGTAGCATGCCGCAAAAATACCGGCCAAAGGCCGCCCGAAGTGGAGATGACTGGGCCAGGTGCATTCAAGGAGCGGGCAAAGATCACCCACCCGGATGTCGTGAAGGGGAAGGACCGGGACGTCGTGTGCTGCCGATGGGGGCGGGGTGAATGTGGGAGTGTTAAAGATTACGCAGAGCCTCCTTTTTGTTGGGGGTGCCATGGGGCCATGAGCACTTGGAGGGATTGAGCACAACGCGTTTGAAGCGCAAGTGGCGGAGCATTGTCCTGTCCTTCAGCGCTTCAACATCAGAGGAAGTTATGACCGTTGACTGCTGTTGTAGGCCCCTGACTTAGAGTGTGTGTATGTATATATATTCTGATGGTGCCTGAATATGAGAGTTTGATCAATCGAGACCCCATCGATGCCTGTGAGCCCTTGAGGACTGAGACGAGACATGTGAAAACTGGGCTTGGATTGGATTCGTAGATGGCAGTATAGTATAGATGGCTTGTTAGCCAAAATAATGTGGTTTGTCCAAGCAGCCTTGGGCGTTCCGCAGCCAGGACTCGCATTTTCGAGAAATGGTGCCTCAGCTGTGGAGTTTGGCCCAGCCATTCACCTGATCCAAACTTCAACCTTGGCATGTTGCCATCTATGCCTCTTTTCCCCTTCTGCGTCCCTGTTCTTGTTTGTTCCTGTCTTGTGATTTCTTTCCTTCCTTCACCTGCTGGGACTGAGACAAAATCAGTCAGACAAAGGCACCTGATGGAATGCGCCCTCCAAAAAAAGAGACCACATCAATAAAATGCAGAAGTTGGCCAGAATTGATCAACCGGTGGCTTTGGGGTTGCCGTGGGTTTTGCGGGTACAATGAAATCACCCAACAGAGGCAAGAGGTGTTTATACAAACTCATATAAGCTCGATATATGAATGCACCAATTCAATCGCTTCGGGATCAATGTTCTACTCCCCCCCCCAAAAAAAAAAAAAGCAGTTTCAGTTTGAGAGCCTCAATAACTCACCTTTAGGGATGCCTGCTGAGTTTTCAAATGCTTGCTTGCACTTGAGGTTGTGAGATGCCGAAATAGAATTTATGCATGGAAGATCATGGAGTGGATTATGGCTTCATGCCTTTTCAAGACGAACTGATCCATGATTACCCTCCAAAAACTCAGCGGGGGTCTATCCACCATCATCCACCTCTGATGTTTCTTGCTTCCGTGCCGCCCTGGGTCTCTTCCCCTATGACGGCGAGGTCGACGCCTATCGTGTCTTGCGGGACCCGCGGAAACGGGCCGAGCAGCTTGGAGCGGTGGGCGTGGGGCCGCTGTGCAGGGCCGCAGTGAACGGACCCACAGGCTCGAGGGAGGAGACAAACATGAAGAAACAGTGCAAAGGTCCCAAGTGCCTGTTACCGGTTTTAAGGGGGCCGGGGAGCTTTGAGTATTGGCTTGTATCTTTTAATACCATCATTACCATTCCTGTTGAAATGTCCTTTTGCGCAAAGGGGGGGGAGCTTGAGGCCCTGGCAGGGGGGCCTTTATGTACAGAGGCAGTTCAGCATCTATCCCAACCCGTTGTGTAGAATCAGAAATATGACTCGATCTGATCAAGAAAAGATCAAACTATATTTTTTTAACATAAGGGTGGAACTCAAGGACGACTTATTGTACACTTTGGAGTGTAATTTGTAGAAATCAGTGTGTTCCAAATTGTTTAGACCTTGGTGACCTTGGTGGAAAGCGATGTTGGCTTTCAGAACACCACAAACGGGCGCGTCCCACCGTATGTGGGATTGGCTACCGGCTACTGTGACGCGTGCGCCCCACAGCCAGAGTGGTGCCAAAGACGCGGCCTGTGGTATGGTTCGGTTTGAACACGTGAGCTTGGCTTACATTCATTTTATATATATATAGAAACATGTTGGATGGGACGTCAGACTCAGCTGAACCACGGCATATTGTTGCCGGCGGGCAAACGGGAAAGTAGAAAAACACTGTCTCAGTCTCAGTAGCCGATTTATGTTTCTTTTCCCAGATTTTTCCACCTCAGCCAACGAAAACAATCTATATAAAAAAAGTATAAGAAAGTAACGTTCGTTTTCGTGTGCGCTTATCCAACACTTTGTTTTAAACGTGCAGTAATGCTACCCAAGATAAGTCCGAACCTAGAAATCCTTTCCCTCTTGAGTCCGAGTCTGGTCCGCCCAGGGACTTGTGGATTACTGTAGATTTTCTGCATGGGCTCAAACTCATTCATGTCAATCTTGCCTCAAACTCCCTGCGTCCCCATTTTACGAAGACAAGTCTTGCACCTCCATTTTGTAAACCAAACGGTTGGATGAGAGCACATGAAAGAGTTTGTACCCGGAAAGATTCCCTCAGTCTACTGGGATGAGTCCATTGGTTGCAACGTAGGTGTTTTTGTTGTGTCCTGCTGTCCTGCTCTAATGTGATTTGAACGGCTTCACTAGTTTGTATTTGTCGCCACCTCCGCGAAGAGATACTATGTTTCAACTGATTGCAGGAGTGCGTCAGGGAATCCGAGCACGGAATAGCCCCGTTTCGTTTGGACGATTTGTGA